ACACCGGGCAGTGGCGCGCACGCCTTTAATCCCAGCACTTGGGAGGCAGAGGCAGGCAGATTTCTGAGTTGGAGGCCAGCCTGGTCTACAGAGTGAATTCCAGAACAGCCAGAGATACACTGAGAAACCCTGTCTCGAAAATAACAACAAAACAAAACAAAAAAACTTTAAAAATTATTTTCCAAACTGCAAGGGTGCTTTTTTTTTCTCCATGAAAACTAATGCTATGATTTGGATATGAGTTGTGCACATCCCCCAAAGATCTATGTGCTGAGACTTAGTTACCAGTGAGACGATGCATGAGATTACATGACCTTTTTAGAGATGGGGGTAGAGAACCTTTCTTGGAAAGGTTTGCCATGGTCCTTGAGGATTCTAGCTAATTACAATGAGCCATGCACAACATCAAGGAACAAGGCATCCTACCCACTCTGGCTTCCTGAATCACAACAGGAAGCATTATCTCCTTGTGTGTGTGTTCTTACTAAGATGCAGTCTACCACTTGCTATGCTGTTTGATCTTGTGGTTTGAGTAATAGCTGTTCCCCACACCTCAGGCACTGAAACACTTGGTACCCAGTTGGTGATGCTGTTTGGGGAGGTGGTATGTAGAAAGCCTTGGTGCACTTCCAGTTTGCTGTCTTGCCTGTGTCTGCCATTGAAGGTGTGATCCTTCTGCTTCCTGCCCCAGCTGCCCGCTGCCATGTCTTCCCTGGTATTATAGGCTCTGGAGCCCTAGCACAAACTAAACTCATCCTTCCACGTACTGCTTTTGGTTGTGGTATCTTATCACAGCAACAGAAAAGTAACTAACACGGCCTCTATGACTTTAAACTAAATACAACTTTTTGTTTAAACACTTCTCTGTTTAGTGCTATAGCCATGAAAGCAGAGCAATGCACCAAATTAAAATATTTTTTAAAGTAATCATGGTGGCTCACATCTGTAATCCTAGCATCTAGAGGGCTAAGGAAGCCGATTGCCATGACTTTGAAGTCATCTGAGCTACTAAATGATATTCTACCTCAAAAAGAAAACAAAAGAAAATGGGTGTTTTCTATCTAAGTGCTGTGGAGGCAGACAGGGCTGAACATTTTAAAAAGGATGGAGCTGGCCCAGCCGGAACACACACCATCTCTCCGACCGACTTGCTGTTCCCTTGGCTTGCACTGATTTCCACCCACAGTTAGCAGGATGCTTCTCCAAAGCCATATGGACCAAGATGATGAGTCATCTGTCATCCAGAATTCCTCCTAAGACAGGCCTCTGCACATCCAATCACCTTTAGCACACTCAACAAGCACATCCTCTGCTGAGCACGAGCGCGTGCTCTGTAACATAAGGCTTCTAAAGCAGAAGGTGGGGACCGGGCGGTCCTTACACCCTCACCGTGCCAAATGGACAGACTCCAGAGCTTTGAAGAAAAATCAAAACTGAAAATGTCCAGATGGGTTTTCCGGAAGAAAGATGGGGGATGGGGTGTGTGGATTAAGTCACTTGGGAGACTGACGCACTTCACTAAGAACAGGCCTGAGATGTAAAAGACAGAACAGCTAAGAAAAACGCAAGCATGGAAGAACATAACCCAGCCCATATGTGACTCTGCAATTCGGCTAGGCTACATTTTTTCAAGCTATTTTTGAACTTCATATTTCATGTAATAACCTACTAAAAATTCAGGCCCTGTATACCAGCTATGACCAATATTAGCAAAACCTCAAGCATTTACTGCTCTCCTAAGCATTTTCATCCAGTCAGTCAACTCATCTTTAAACTCCTTCCCAGTCCATCCTCTACAATGAGTCAAATGCACAAACAGGTAAGGTGTGGCTGCCTAAGGCTGCACATAGCCAGGGAGCAGTCTGGCTGTCCGCAATACCCATTAGCCACCTCTTCAAAGGAATTTAATAAGGATATGATCTCTGAAAAGTACATAAGTTTTATTTTACCTGGCATGAGGTCTTAAGTTAACAAAGCTTAAAAGAATTACTGGCAGGTATTAGCAAAACCAGAGGTCAATCCCCAATACACAAAAAAAAATATTTGGGAAATAAATAGTGGCCACACTTAGAACTCCCATTCGGGAAAGGGAGTCATTCACCAACTGGGTACCAAGTGTTTCAGTGCCTGAGGTGTGGGGAACAGCTATTACTCAAACCACAAGATCAAACAGCATAGCAAGTGGTAGACTGCATCTTAGTAAGAACACACACACAAGGAGATAATGCTTCCTGTTGTGATTCAGGAAGCCAGAGTGGGTAGGATGCCTTGTTCCTTGATGTTGTGCATGGCTCATTGTAATTAGCTAGAATCCTCAAGGACCATGGTAAACCTTTCCAAGAAAGGTTCTCCACCCCCATCTCTAAAAAAGTCATGTAATCTCATGCATCATCTCACTGGTAACTAAGTCTCAGCACATAGATCTTTGGGGGATGTGCACAACTCATATCCAAATCATAGCATTAGTTTTCATGGAAAAAAAAAAAAGCACCCTTGACCCCTGCATGCTACTTGTTGGGCAAACTATGCCAACTAATCATAGTGGGATTACTGTTACAGGGGTAATAACCAACTGCTTTCTGATTGGATGTCAGGGTCCAGTCTACAGACAGAATTCACATCTCGTACTGTAACCTTGTTCAACAGCCCAGTGGGAAAGTGATTGCTGCTGCTTTGCTAAGGGGACATGATGTGCCTGACAAATTGACTTCTAAATATTTAAGTTTAAGACCACAGATCAGTCTATCATCCAGTCTGGTCAAAGTCGCCTCTGTTTGCCATGAGTGACTGTTAAGAGTAGAAGCTGTTAACTGTCCAAAGTGCTAAGGATAAGTGACTCTTCAGTATTCATCTCTAAACAGGACATCTGTGTTACCAACCTTCCCACACTTGCAACCACTCGCACCAAGGTTCAGAAACACCAAAGAGCGAGCGGGTATGCGCTGGCTATTTATGTGAGCTTGACACAAGCTAGATCACCTGAACTGAAGAAGGAACCTTAGTTGAGAAACTGCCTCCATCAAGATTGGGCTTTAGGCAAGAAAGCCTATAGATCATTTTCTTAATTAGTGATTGATATCAGAGGGCGCAGCCCATTGTGGATGGTGCCACCCCTGGGCTGGTGGTCATTGTGGATGGTG